TTTGACGTTTCGTTGAAACAAATGAATGCAACTAAACACACCCATAGCAACGCCATTCATGGCAGACATGATTTAACTTATCATTTATCTTTTTTTGGGAAATCTTAAACACATTTGCTTTTTCGAATTTCGATCACCTTTTTCATGCTAATACCCCACCGTGCGGCCTCTCAAAGTATACTTTTCAAGGTAAAACACAATCTACAGGGTGGTCCGAACTGTATTCCGGAAACTTCGGCAGCATATTCTGCAGATAAAGATAAGTAAAAAACTTCGTATAAATGTATGTCCTAAAATGTTTAGTTTCGGAGATACAGGGTGTAGAAGTTTCATTTTTATTTCGATTTTTTCGAAATAATTTATGAAGTAACGTCCATATTTGGATGAAAATTGGTGTCTGGGAAGTTTTTTGGCATAAGAAAGTTCATCCAAATATTGACGTTATTTCAGAAATTATTTTCGAAATAAAAATGAAACTTCTACACCCTGTATCTCCGAAACTAAGCATTTTAGGACATACATTTATACGAACTTCTTTACTTATTTTTATCTGCAGAATATGCTGCTGAAGAATATTTAAATCTTTATAAATATATGAAAATTAATAACATCGATGCATAGAGTCAACAACTTTTTCGAAAAATAAACTATATGAAGCCAACAATAACTAACATATTATATTTCCTAAAAAATCAAATTTAATCTAATCACGTAGATCTCTTTTTTTACTAAATTCTATGAGGGATGATTTAAATAGAAAAAAAAACAACATTCTTACAATCTAAAAAATGGAACTTATCTTACTATCTACATTGTACGAAAAATTTAAATTTTTATAATTTTTAAGTGAATTTTTATTACTTGTTGAAATAATAATTAAAAAGTAATATTTTTTAGATTAGTTGACTAATATATTATTGTTTTTTTAAGTCTCATCAAATCAATTCCATGAATGTGTTTTGTATATTTTTTTTCGAAACATAGAAAAATAAAATGGGGTCACCAATGATATGATAGATTATCTTGGAATGTTACGGTTTCGAGACTTTTAAATATACAGGGTGGCTTAAAAATTCAAAGGACAGTGTTGATTTTATATTGTTTTTAATACTAGAAAATTGAAATATTCAACACAGCTGATCGTTTTAAGTAGATATTGTTTTATAAGAAAACAAAGTAGTTTAATGATGTATCACCCTGTATATATTTTTATAAAATAGTATATTTTCTCTTTTATAAAATAAAAAAATAATTATCTAATATAATTTTATATTATTTTTTGTTTTTATTTTAAATCGTACTATTTAAAATATTGTTTATTTGGAAATAAGATTGAGGAAGTTTATAAAATTGTACTCTGGCAAGAAATAACAATTTTTTCAACGAGAGACAGAAATTGTGCTTTGTTTTGTTTTTATTTTTCGTAAAGTTACCTAAAAACATTTTTATAATAATTATACCAATAATAACAAATTTAATTTTTCTTCGTATTACCTTAAAATTGATTTCTTCAAAATTTTCTTTTTATACAAATCGCTGAGAAATATTTTCATGTACAATAAAAGAGAGAATGTTTATATTTAAATGGCGTGAATATATATCTAATTATTTATTATTATGAAATAACCGATATTTAATTTTGAGAAATATATTTTTCATATATGTATTATAATTTTTTTCTTTTGGTTTTCTACAAAAATCAACGAAGTTTATTTTTCATAAGACTTACGTGCTGATTGATTTTGCTATGTTCACGTTAAACTATAATTTATTTTATATTATTTATTATAGGCGATAAAGCAACATCAGTACTGTTAAACAAGATGCATTTATGATAGATTGGATTGTATTTTTTATTTGGTAAATATTCAAATTTTTCATCAGTTATTGGACATTTTTTTGCAACTGTGAAGATATATTCAACTACCTAATATTGCTTCCAAACTTTAATTCAAAGTTGGTTAATTTTTAGTCCTAACAACTATATGTTGGGACAAGGTCTTTTTTGCAATAAAAAATAGTAATTTGTTAAAACGACTCAATTTATTTTGTTTATTGTTCTAAATTCAAACATTACAATATGATCTGGATAATTTTACTATATTTTTATAACTTTGCAAACAAATCACTTTTGATAATAGCTTATTTTGCCAAAATCAAGCCAAATTTGCTGACAACTATATATTGGGACAGCACAAAACAAAATTTGTTTAATACGGAGTTACATCACCTTTCGCCTTAACAACTGCCTGAACTCTTAATGGCATTGTATTTACCAAAGATTGGCACATTTGAGGAGAAAAATTATCCCAAATTTCCTGCAGTTTTGCCCGCAAATCAAAAATTGTTCGTTGAGGGTGGTTTCTTAAATATTGCTTCATTTTATGTCACACAGTTTCTATAACATTGAGGTCCAGACTACTTGCAGGATGGGATAGAACTTTTATATTATTATTATCGAACCAATTTTTAGTTGATTTTGCTGAATGGCACGATGCTCCATCTTGTTGGAAAATATAGTCTTCGTTTGGAAACAATTCTTGAGCACTAGGCAAAAGTGAGGTCTCAAGTATATGTTGATATCTTTGGGCGTTAACAGTGCCATCTATAAAATTTAATTTGCCCAAACCTCTTGCTGACATGCAACCCCAAACCATAATCCCCTTAGGAAATTTAACAACCCTCTTTAAGCAATCTTTATGAAAGGCTTCTGCTTTATTTCGTATTATTCGTTTTCGATGATCTCCAACACAAACATCAAATTTAGACTCATCGCTAAATATGACCTTATTCCAATCATTTTGCGTCCACGATAATTTAGATTTTGCCCAATTGTAGCGATTTTTCTTTAGAATTTCTGTCAATAGCGGTTTTTCTTTGGCCTAAATAAGAATTTGTATCAATAATCTTCAGGTAATTGATTATCCACACAAAATAAAGTTTACCTTGTAAAACCCCAGACCTCATTTATGGATATATTTTCGGCAACATTCTCTGGATATATTTGAACCAGTTACAGTATTCCATTTAATTGTTACTTCGCGAAAAGTACTTCTTCTCGCAGACTTGCAAATTTTTAATAAATTTCGTAAATCTCTTTGAGATACAACTTTTAGCCTTCCCGAACTTTTACCTCTAACGTCTACATTGGCAGATTCGCCGTATTTTTTATTATATTAAAGACAGTGGTTTTTGGAATACTTAAATCATCAGAAATTTTTCGAATTGTTTTTCCCGTACTGTATTGACGAATGATAATTTCGCGTAGTTTTTGATTTGTAGCTTTTCCACGGACCATTACTTTGAATTAAATAATTAACAAAATTGAAAATTAAAAAAAAATAAAATTACTTACAGTAAATCTCACTACTCAAAGTATCGAGTTACTTACAATCTATGCTTACAATGCTGAAGTAAACAGTTTGCGACATTTGTGACATTTATAGCAAAGCCGCCTATGATGATATTAATTATTTAAAAGTACTTGTCCCAATATTTAGTTGTCAGCAAATTTGTCCTTTTATGAACAAAATCCGCTACTGTAAATATGGATTGATTTACAAATTCATAAAAATATTGTCAAGTTGTTTAGGATATATGGCTATGTTTATATTTAAAAAATTAAACATATATTTTTCAGTCATTTTGAAAAACCAGGGCAATAATTCCAAAATATTACCTTGTCCCAACATATAGTTGTTAGGGCTCGTATTCCCTAAGTAGTGTGAGCAAACTTGTCTTTCTCAAAATCTGGACCTAACAAAATTTATTTTATATTACCCTAATTTTATATTGCCTATCTTTTTTTGGATTTTTCAGTTCATAATTTTTATTCTAGCTGATAATCATTTTTTTGTACTAAATTTTCTATTTCCATGATTTTTTTAGCGAATTATATCTAAATACGGTTTATATGAAATACATTTTTGGTTACGTCATCGAGTGTATTGTGACTGGGTAGGCGACAAAATTTTAGTTGTCTATTTGCCCCCCCCCCCCTCTCAACCCAAGTACTTGGAAATGGTGTAGTAACAAACAAAAGAAACAATTTGAAAGCCTCTGGAAATATATTTCCAGGATTATTCTCCTTAAATTATTTTATAATCTAAATCTCCCTTAAGTGCTGTTAAGGAGTTTTTTTTGTTGATCTAAATAATAACTGTTTATATATTAATTAATTTATTTTAGTTTCCTGAAATATTTTGATTAAAAGAAAATATATAAAAGTGGGCAACGCTGTACCTGTCAAGCTTAATCACGTGACTAAAATTTTATTTGGTATGAACTGTATATACAGCTTTCTAAAAAATAGAGCTAAAAATAAAAAAAAAAATATAACACTTTTAATTTGACGAAAAACATTTCCGTTGCGTTTTTTTTCGCATCTGAGTATAGCATAACACGTTCTGATGTCGCCACGCCTTACTAGAGGGTACCTCTTAATCTAACATTTATAAAAATAGGTTCTGGGGAAAATATATCATTTCCTGACAAAGAGTGGCCGACTGTTCGACGAGATATACAAGTTCTTCCTGTGGAAACTGAACTTTTCCACACTCTCGCTGATCGTATAGATCGACGAGATTTTCAGCCCATCCCTACTATCAGCCACAATCTGAAAATGAGGTCCTGTACTGTGATATGGCGATCCTTGCAACAACAGAGGTCTTTGCTGGGAGTCTGACTTGAAGGACTTGTTAAACAAACTTGTCACGTGTTTTGGAGTGGAAAGTCTAATTGAAAGGGGTCGTTTTGTTGAAGAAAACGGTGCTTTTCCATGAAGAAAAGCTAGTTCATTCCTACGTCTATCCAAAACGTTCTGGTACACATTCGTATCTTTCCTCCCTTTAGCGAAATTGTTGTAGTAGAACCTCAAAATCCCCCCTCCAGACGAATTGATGTTTTTGTTGTTGTTCTGTTTGGTGAAGTTATTGTTGTTGGGGGCGGAGAACAGTTGCATCTGCGGCTGCGGTGGGGGGTAGTAGATCTTCTTGAGGGTAGGGGGTTTGGCTAAAGGTGGAGGGGGCGGCGTGGGGTGAGGCTTGGGAGGTTGGAGTAGCTGCGGTCGGGTCGAACAGTTGCACGGGGTGCTGGCTTGGCAGGCTATTTCCGTACGTTGTCACACTTCCTGCGAAAGAAGAAACAAATCTATAAAATCAAGTTAATATACAGGGTGTTTCATGAAACATGTGCTTAAATATTATTACTATTAGTTATTATTACTATTAGTCCAACCCACAGCAATTTCAAATAAAAAAATAATCGTATTTAAGATAATTACAAAAAAACTAATTTTTAAAAGTGTTAACATCCTGTAACTCTAAAACTATGCATTTCTATACCCATGTTTATAGGAACTTTTTAATATTTTTTGATGAGGAATGAATGGGTACTTATTTAAAACTTTCGCAAGTTAATAATATTAAATTTTTTAAAGGTTGCTATTGGATTTGGATCAAGGCAAATTAATAAAATTGCCCAAGTAGCATTTTCACGACTTGCGCCCACATGTTTACTAAACACAACGTTGGATTAGTTACAAAAAATAGTTAATTCCCTACCTTATGTATTAAAATAAATTTAAACGTTTTTATAACGTTGTGCCGACGTTGGACTAGTACTACAGCAAAGTAGAAGCTTCTGCGACGTCGAATAAACGTTGTCTTGTAACCTTTTTTGCTTAAGTGATCTTTAGGTGATTCGGACAACGTAGTTACAACGTTGGACAATATAGAGTTTTCCGACGTCACTTTCAGGACCTATTCCAACGTTATGCAAACGTCGTCTGTTTTACTAATTCCAACGTTGTTTAGATTTCCTTATTCTTACGTTGGTAGGACGTCGAGTCACTACCTTTATGCAACTGTATTGAACCATAACCTTAAATATTAAATTTTCACTTCATTGTTCTGTTCAGTCAGACAGTTCAGTGCTGTTTTTGTTTTTATAAAAAAAACTTAATTAAAATGGGACATAAGAAAGATACATATAAAACTAAATTTAAATATATATCGACATATATTACCGATAGTTTATCCACTCCGTCGTTTATTTAGATTATAGTGGGCGGCACAAGCTAGACTCTAGGATGACTAAATTAGGCAATCTTGCGACTAGTATACTACCTGTTAAGGCCGAACTGCGACTTTATTAGTCCAGTATGCGACTACTCGAACTACTCCATCTTAATCTCCAAAACAACAAAGTGAAAGCCGCCATGTTGTTAAATAAGAAAATGTTTCCTTCCTAAAATAGCAATTCCTGCTTTTTGAATACATTAACCATATAATTGACCCTAAAAACATAACGGAAACATATATTTTGTTTCCCTAACAACCTTTTTTTTCCCTAACATATTTGACCCTAAAAAACACGCGGAAACAATTTTTTCGACTGCGAATAAATTATTCTCATTTTACTAAAAAAAAAATTCAAGAAAATTTTTAAAACTTCTTTAATTTTAAGGCCCATTAGTATTTTTCAAAGTAGAAACAATACATTTATCAATAAAGTTGTTTGCGTTTAACTTTTTTGCCTTGGGTAACGAGTTACAGAGTCGGTTAAAGTGTTTCAATAATTATGGTCTTAAAACATCCTCCACACTTAAATACTTTTGTTTTGTTTTCCTTCACTGCCATCTGACATATGTCTCTAACTAAATCATAAAAATAATATTTTTACTATAATTATCCCAATTTAGGATAAAACGGGACTTAGACGCCATATTAGTTTTGTATTTCTGTGAATTAGGATTTTAAACAACGTTGCAGTTTGTACTAAATTAGGCTTCTAACCAACGTCGGTATCCAACGTCGTTTCGACCCAAAAATTATTCTCCAAACTAGTGCAGACTAGGGTTGGCACGAGGTTGTGCCGACGTTGCGCCCCGGCGTTTGGTCGCGTGACACGCCGTTGTCCCGACGTCCAAATGCTAGTTGGGTGCGTTTATCTCATCAAGGAGGCCGAAATCGACAAAATATCAAGAGACAACTTACAATCGGCATTAAACTGCTTACACTATTTCGCTAACAAGAGAAAAAAGTCAGTGGCGTACATGCTTTTTTTAGAAATATATTCCAGTTATAACCCATATGCACGTTCCTGGTGATTATGTCAACATCTTTTAGCTTTAAAATATATCACATTTATAGTAACTTTTACCCTCCAAATTTCATTTGAAGCTAATAAATCCAAAAAATATTAAGACTTTAACACCCTGTAGCTACGAAACAAAGCAGAATCGGACCTATGTTGATATGAAAAATAAATCTTATTTTTACGTGAAGAATCTCCCCACAAGAGATGGCACATGTTTTTTGAAACACCCTATATACTATATACTTCTATAAAACAAATTACCTGCAAGAATTTAACTGGACAAACTCCCTGTCGGTTATCTCCTGATCTGATCATCACCATTCCGTCGATCTCTTCGCCGATCTGAATCACGATCTGATCTCTGAGCAACATCAAGCCATTGTCCCCATCAGACACTTGCAAATTATGCGTCACCTAGTGGAACAAATACAAACACTTTAAGGAATTCTAATTCCATTATGTATAAGATGTAGAAAAAAAGACTAGACTAACTCTTTGGACATTTTTCACACCTTGAGATTACACCTTGATTATTGCATCTTAAGAAACGTTTAACCTTGATATACATCTATCAGGAAGACAAAATATACTTATACTTATAAAAATCTGAGTTTAATTTTATATATTTCATATATCATTTAAAATTATCCTTTATACAAATTTTGGGAGCTTAAAGCTGCCAAGGCGGCATAAGTGACAAGAAGTTTAAATTCAACTTAAGGAACAGCAAAACCAAGTAAATGTAAATTTAATATGGGAAAACAGTATCAGCTGCTTCTCTCTATCACGTTTTGCTGCAAAGGTTCTGTAATAGAAATTTGATATGGGAATACTTAGGTTGGTACAGATATTTTTTATATTTAGGTCTTGTTTTCCCAATATTTTTTAAAAATTAAAAATTTAACATAACACAAATGTCATATTTTATATGAACGTCAACGGTTTAATAGACTTTCCTGCTAAAAAAACGAAAGTGTTCTCTGGGTATTTATTTTTTGACATTTTAAATTGTTTTTTTTTGTTGCTTATGACGACGCGACGAGGGGTTGTTGTTTAGACAAATATGTTTACTAGTAAACAGTTACTGGAAAGATAGTCTCTGTTTGAATACTACGCAGTAGTTTTGTATAAAAAATATCTATTTCTTTCAATTACGGAAGCAGCTGCAACATAAAAAAAATCCACGTTTTTATTTTTAGTAGCGTAATTCTTAATCTTACACATATGTAGATGTGTGAAATAATACTTCAAACTTTTTTTTATTTCACTTCCCTATGATTTTGGTGCCCAACGTGGGGCTATATAGATGTTTAGTTTTATTAACTTCCGAGTAAACTATCGATCTCCATTTACTACTGCTTACCTGCAAAGGTTTTTCTCCAGACGACAGCTTAGACACGTACTTGGATGGGAAGAATCCCATTTTCCCAAAACATTTCCCTTTCCACCAATCAGGATCGGACGTGTCAATAACTGTCACTTTGTACCCTGCTTTAAGGTCAAGTTCGTCTTGGTGTCTGGCCTTGAAATTGTACAGTACTACGTAGAGATTGGTCGGTAACAGTCGATGGGACTTCTGAAAAATAATGAAAAGTAACTTTAGACTATTTTTTTTCAGAGTTGAATTGTTTTTTTATGTATAAAGCGCTGAAATTTAGAAAAAATTATGAGAGCAAGATCGTTTTCCTGCTTTGCCTATGTAATTCATGTATCTACCTTTCCTACTGGACTTGGACAAGGAGAAGTACTGGCCGAAGAGGGACTTTTGTCGTTTTCATCTGGTAGTTCCACCGAAGACATTCTGATGTTTTTAGCTGATAGCAGACGTCTGTTGTGAACTGGACTTGACGGCGCTATACAGTAAAAATTTTGTTATTAATATTTTCGGAAAAAATGCAGCCATTTTTCATCGACATTCCGGATATAAAAAAATTCTTATACTTTTAACGTGCTAAAATATTATTTGAAATTAATAACAAATCACTCAGTTTCTTGCAAAAACAGTAAAATTCGATTTACATAATTATTGTGACATTTCTAACATGGATAAATCAGCTACCAAAAAAAATAATTTAACTAAAATCTTGAGAATTTCGATTCCAAATATCTGGATAACCATTACTCGTAGCGATTTTTACAAAGAGATCTTTGTTACGTAAAAAACGTCGTAAATGTATATTTTTTTACTCACTAGTTTCATACAGGTAAGGACGAAAAGTTATTACTCTTCAAAACAGTTAAAACACATGTAGGTGGCGCCCCCTACAAATAGGAGTCATATTGACATCAAAATCAAATTTCTCATGTCAAAAAACTTCCAGACATCAATTTTCATGAAAATATTGACGTTCCTTCAGAAATTATTTGGAAAAAATCAAAACAAAAATGAAACTTCTACACCCTGTATCTCCGAAACTAAGCACTGTAGGACATACATTTATACGACCTTTTTTACTTATTTTTATCTGCAGAATATGATCCCGAAGTCTCCGGAATATAGTTCGGACCACCCTGTATACAGGGTGTCCGGAAATTAATGCAACAAAAAGGGGGGCCCTTTTCGGATTTACAGCCCCCTAAATTTCGCCCTTAAAAAGAGTTTTTTTCTAATATCTCAGGGTCCTGTTGGACGAAAATCACTAAATTTGGTACACGTTGTTTTACCATAAAATGACATTTTTTCATGCTATTAACTTTTGATTATTTTCATCAGTGGCGTCCCTACGGTATTTAAACGCCACTGGTTTTCTTTTAAATAAAAATTATTTTTAAAATCTACATTAAATTTGGAACAAATTTGGTCTCTTGACTTTTTTTTTGTACGACTCACCGTTTTCGCGTAAAAAAATAAAAACCATTTTCATACATGACTAAATCGCTAAAATTTTACAGTAAATTTCAATGACAACATTTTTAAAATGGCAAACTTTTCCAAAATCTTGTTTTTATTACATAAGTGCGAACCAAAATGTCCAAAAATCTAAATTGCCGTTTTTTAATTTTTGCTATGAAAATTTACGTTAACATTTTAGCGATTTGGTCATGTTTTTTTACCGTCTTTAGTTTTTAGTTTTTTGCCGTCGCGTCGTACCAAACAAAAGTCAAGAAATCAAATTTGTTCCAAATTTAATGTAGATTTTAAAAATAATTAAAAAAAAAACAGTGGCGTACCATTAATTTCCGGACACCCTGTATAAACAGACGTAATTATTTTATTTTATTGATTATTTAAAGTATGATGTTTTTGCAAGAAACTGTTCAAACACACACAAAAATAAATCAAGAAAATATGCATACTTGACTGCGTTTTCAGATCTTTTCTGATCGGATGATTGGGAAGTGATCTTGGTGGGACGGTAGAAGATGCGACTGTGAAACATGCAAGTTAGTAAAAGGGCAATCTCAAAAATGCTTAATAAATAAAGTCAATAAAATATTGTGCATTGAAAGAAACAAATTAATAATTAATAAGGTTGGTGAGACAGTTTTGCGGTGCTGGTAGTAGGACGTGCAGAAATATGCAGTTGGACAATCGCAAAGAAGTAGAAGCTGTAAGAAAATCGCATTTTTTGGTTTGGGAGATTGGTGTACAGAGTATAAGAGATATCTTCAAAGAAGCCACTGTAAGAAAATCTACAAAATAAAATAGAGCGGAACTTTTTTAAAATTTTTTAGAGCATTTAGACATTTTAAATAGTTTTTTCTTTGTTTTTTGTGTTTTTTTTGCTTCCGACGACGGGAAGAGATATACTTCCCGAAACGTTAAGCATCTTTTTGTCCGTTAGGCAAATTTATTTATTAGTAAACAACTGCTGACGATTAGTCTCCGTTGGATTAAAGCAGCATTGTTTACAAAAAATAACTATTTTATTTTGTAGATTTTCTTACAATGGCGAAATAACCGTAGGACTTATTTGAAGAGATGAATTCGCCACAGAAGTATATACATTTTTTATAAGAGATATATATCTGAAAAAGTGTATCAATTTCATTATGGAAATTGACAGAAAACAAAAACATTTTTTGCATACTTTGTTAATAAGTACAACTCTGCTTCGTATAATTCTATGCGCTCTATACAGACTCTAGAGGAACTCTCGCATATTCAGGGTGCTACAAATTCGAGGTACGAGCATTGGTATCTCGGAAACCGATACGAAGATGGTTAAATTGGGGCAAAGTTTCGCCGTGGGATGTTCACCAAGATGCTATCAAAAAAGTTTTTAAAATATCTGGGATAGCTGAGTTTTTTGGAATAAAACGAATTTTTTTGAAAATCAATTTTATTTTTTCCTGTCGGTACTTTTTAGAAAATCAAAAAACTAATTGCATATTCTCATAGCCACTTTATTAAGCCTATCTGACAGTATTTTTAGATTTTCAAATTAGCTGATAATTTGTGAGATACAGAGGCCGACTTTTACATTTTTTTAAATACATACCTGCATTTTTTATTTCAGTTTTTGAAAGAACTCGGTCTCCTGAGCACAACGATATGCCACACTTTATACTTTTTTTTTGTTTTGGGTACCTTAACAACAACAGAACTATTTAATTATTATTTAAAATATTTTCAAGTCCAATCCTGGTTTCTTAAAATATTTAATCTGGTTATATTCATTGCAACAATATTGATCAGCGCTAATTAACATTGAATTAGGAAAATCGAGCCAATTGAAAGATTCAAATAAATAATATCTAGCTCAGCAATTTAAAGATATTATTTTTAACTTTTTTTATTGTGAATTTGAAATTCTCAGTATACGATCTAACAATATGCATAATATTATCTAATCGTAGTTATTATAAATAAATCACTTTCTACAAACTAGTTTCTAATGCTCTACATGTTCGAAAGGGTTACCACCTTGCCTATTGCACAAATTTATTATTCTTTCAATTTTATTTATAGCTCTTTGAACATTATCTTCTTCTTAAACTTCCGAATGCATTTTATACTCTTTATTGTAAATGTTGAAAAATATTGATTTCACTTTTACAAATGACGTCTGGTAATGCAATTATTTTTTTTATTGAATTTGATTTTTCGTATTCAATGTTTTACCCCACGTCATAGTTAAATTTGAAGGCTTATCGACATTGTAACGATGAATAATTTAAATATTTAAAAAACAGAGCCGGACTTGAAATTAGTTTAAATAAATTTTGTGCTTAAATGTCTGAAACAAAAAAGAAGTATAAAGTGTGGCATATCATTGTACTCAGGAGACTGAGTTCTTTCAAAATCTGAAATAAAAAATGCAGGTCCGTATTTAAAAAAATTAAGTCGGCCTCTGTATCTCACAAATTATCAGCTAATTTGAAAATCCAAAAATACTTTCAGTTAGCCCTAATAAAGTGGCTATGAGAATGTGCAATTAGTTTTTTGATTTTCTAAAAACTAAGGACAGGAAAAAATAAAATTGATTTTCAAAAAAATCCATTTTTTTCAAAAAACTCAGCAATCCTTGAAATTTTTAAAACTTTTTTCATGGCATTTTGGTGAACATCCCAAGGCGGCAACTTTGCCCCAATTTAACCATATTCGTATCTATTACGGTTACCGAGATACCAATGCTCGTACCTCGAATTTGTAGCACCCTGTATAAACAAACAAGCAGATATGAATAAACTCTGATTATATTATGATCAGTTAAAATACAGGGTGGTTCGAACTGTATTCCGGAAACTTCGGCAGCATATTCTGCAGATAAAAATAAGGAAAAAAGTTCGTATAAATGTATGTCCTAAAATGCTTAGTTTCAGAGATACAGGGTGTAGAAGTTTCATTTTTATATCGATTTTTTCCTAATAACGTCTGAAGTTAATATTTGCATGAAAATTGGTGTCTGGGAGTTTTTTGACATGAGAAATTTGATTTTGATAACTCTTGGAAAAAATCGAAATAAAAATTAAACTTCTACACCCTGCTGTATCTCCGAAACTAAGCATTGTAAGACATACATTTATACAAACTTTTTTACTTATTTTTATCTCCAGAATATGTTGCCGAAGTTTCCGGAATACAGTTCGGACCAACCGTTGTTAATCTGCTAAAAAGAAGAATTAAAACTCATCAAGATATCTCTTATACTCTGCACGACTTGGTATCCACAAAAACAATACGGAAACACACATTTAGAACGAGAAAACTTAAGAACAAATCAAATAAAACAGTAACGTCACAATTCCTGCGTACACTGAATCTTCGAAGACGAGCTGTGATTGGAGTGAGGATCGCTGGCGGCGTTGGCGCCGTGCCTCTGCCTCCTCTGCACGTGCTCTGTACTCTCCGGTGAGTCCAGGGACAGACTCTTCATCCTGAGGTTGAGTTTTTGACGTCTCGGTGAGTGGGGAGCTGTACGGAAACAATTTTGAGATATTTCGTGTAATAGAATAATGAGTGAGGTCTTTTAAGAAAGTTGTTGATATAACAACGGGTGTTTTAAAACATGAAATAAATATGGGTGAAATAATTGTTATTAATGAATGTTATTCAGTTATGTCGGGTCCAGACCAAGCAGACAAAACAACGACAAGACAGAAACATTCATGTTTTACGACAAAATTGCGACAAATCCAATACATTTTGCGACATTTTTGTCTCATCTTTGTTTTGTTTCAAAATTCGGAGACTTTTCAATGTCCCGTCTCGAGTCGGTAAAGATCAAAGTGTCTATGTTTCGTTCGTGTATTTTACAAGTTGTCGGCGCAGTGCTGCCAACAGTAGGAGACCAGTGAAATCACACATGGTTAATAAAACTCATTCGCAACCATTAAACTTTTGACTTTGTTGTACTTTTGTCCTTGCGGTGTGGACAATTTGTCTCAATAAGTTTGTCTTGTCAGAATTCGCCATTTTTTGTCGCAAGTTTGTCTTGTTTTTGTCTTAAAATCGTGTTTACTTTTTGTCGTCTTGGTCTGGACCCGGCGTAAGAAATATTCATTATTATGGAAGATTTGAGACATTCAAGTAATTTTCTACTTTCTTAGATTTTGTTACCAACAACTTTCTGTTAAATTAAATGGATTATTTTAACTAATGGGTTTATTTGCACATTCAGATCAAAAACGAAAAGTAATATTATTATTTTGGAGTTAAAATAAACGGGCATGCAATATTAGGATTCTGTGAAATCTAAAAAAAATCTATGGTTTTCTCTAAAAATTTGGGGAATCTATGTCGTGTTGTTTATGATAAGAATGATCTTTTCTCGATATTTGTGTCATGACGAACAATGCATATAATAATTAGGAAAAAAGTTTTGTATTTGACAATAAATGTCAAGACAGAAATTTTTTATATTAATAGTAATTGAAGTTTTAAATTAAACATTATAATTTTAAGGAATTAAACTGCCCGTCAAATTAAATTTTCAACGAGTTGTAACTTTGAAAAAAATGGACCATTTTTGTTGATTTTTTTAGCATATTAAAGATCGGTTAGCGTAAATTGATCTGATCTTTCTCAATTTTGTATGAGATTTAGTTTTCTATGATATACAGGGTGTGAAAAAAAGGAATGTAATTTTTGTAATTTTTGTGTTGCTGCCATTTTGCTAAAAAACAAAATTTAACTAGAATTATATGTTCTGGGTATATCTGGGAATTTTTTCGATAACTCATCTGGAATAAAAGATAATCAATTTTTACTCTAACTTGTATTTTTCTACCTTTCTTAAAAGATATGCTAACAAAACTGAAATTAACTTTAACATTGTAGGATATTCGTTACTTTTACAATGTGAAATTAAAAAAAAACTACTAAGTTGCAGCTAAACTACAGATTTTTAGACACAAAAAGAGTTTTTACAAAAATATCAAATACGTGTCGAGCTTTTATATTAACCTTATGGGCTGTTAAGTTGAGAATATTAAAAAAATAATTTTACTTTTTCGCTGGTCGTATTTTTAAGAGATCCTGTATTAAACTGCGTTAGTTAAATCATTTTTTTTTTAATTTCACATTAGTAACAAATATCCTACAATTTTAAAGTTAATTTCAGTTTTGTTAGCTTATCTCTTGAGAAAGGTAGAAAAAATACAAGTTAGAGTAAACATTGATTATCTTTTATTCCCGATGAGTTATCGTAAAAATTCCAAATACGTCCCGAGATATTAGTCTTAGGTATACCCAGAACTTAAAATTCTAATTAAATTTTGTTTTTTAGTAAAATGGCAGCAACACAAAAATTACATTCCTTTTTTTCACACACTGTATATCATAGAAAACTAAATCTCATACAAAATTTAGAAAAATCAGATCAATCTACGAAAAACGATCTTTAATATGCTAAAAAAATCAACAAAATCGGTCCATTTTTTTCAAAGTTACAATTCGTTGAAAGTGAGTAAAAAAATCGCTGTGGTATTTAATTTGACGGGCAGTTTTATATTTCTACAATTTATGTGTAAATAAAATAAACACTTATTAAATATTTTCCTACCCTTGTCAAACCATATAATATTTTATGAAAACATTTTTAGAGTTGATATCCATTTTTCATATCAATATCTTTTTTCACACTTTTTTCACAGAATATAAGGTTTGCTTAGGACTCATGAACAATATACCAGATGATAAAAAAGGAGTCAAGTTAGTCATTTAATTTTATACAAGGTGACAATTTGAAAACGAACACTATTTAATATTGCCTCTACCGATGATATTTAGAAAATTTGGCGAAACACGTCAATTTACATATCAAGGGGGACAATTTTTGAGGCATTTGTTGTCGTGTTACTTTCAACCCCTTAACCCCCAGGGCACTTACCTCTAAAATTTTAAATAGCAACCCCTATTTCTTTTGCCATTTTTGTGTTTCTTTTAGAATTCTACATAAACTGCATTCTTTTTTTGAGAATTTTATAAGGAACACAAAAATGGTAAAAGAAATAGGGGTTGCCAGGGAGGTGCCCTGGGAGTCAAAGGATTGAAAGTAACACGTCAACAAATGCCTCAAAAATTGTCCCTCTTGATATGTAAATTGACGCATTTCTCGCCAAATTTTCATACTATCATCGGTAGAGGTAATATTAAATACTGTTCGTTTTCAAATTGTCACCCTGTATAAGTACATATATCTAAATAAAACGATAGTGTTTAAGTGAAAAGTTTTGTTATTTAGAGTAGCAGTTATATCGTTATATTATACCATTAATATAATACTTAATAAGTGCTGTGCTTTGAATAAGAAGACTAAGGAAGGAGCATATCAAAAATCTTAGGTCCACCTCGAAGGCACTCAAATATGGCCGACTTAAATTCCGGTTTATCAGTGCCGTTCTAATTTTATTTAAAAAATGTAAAACTATGATGTAGGGTAGACGTGGGGTAGACTCAATAATTTGTTTTTTTATTTTACGTTGTGAATAAATGTTGGTAGTTATTAAAATTGTTATGAAAATATAAAATTCTAATAAAAATAGATAAGTTATAATAATTACTTATTAACACAAACATCCGATACGCTACTGAAGCAGGTAAGTCAAACTGACGTATCTAAATTCTTTGACATCTAATCTTTGACAAGTAGTAAATAAAATCAAAAATGCAAGAAAAAATATATAATTAGTTAATTTAAGTGAATTTCATAAATGATCGGTTTACTACACGTATGTATATTATATGTATAGTCACTTACTAGCGAAAAGTTGTTCCATTATTTCACTCGATTTTTGCCGAGATCTACCGCACGCTACATAACCAACTATTTTAGAGTCTTTTTCGATAAATCGCGATAGTGTCACTGTTAATTTAAGTTCTGCCACAATTTCCATCTAGATTTACTACCTTTATACAACTATCAGTAGTAGAATAAATAATAAATAACATAAAATAAGCTCCGTAAAGACTGATAAATCCACAAAATTTCAAATCAACTTCAAATGTGTCAAATAAATCGTCAAACAGAACTGTCACGGATCCCCACCTTAGAGTTCTTTTTCCACCCACCATGCATGAATACATGGATAGCATTATGCTCCTTCCTTAGTCTTCTTATTCAAAGATACCGTGTAATCAAACAAACATATCTTAGTACGCTACTAAGTAATCTATGTCTACCGTTAAAGTTCTTGACAGTTGTTTCAATTATTTGATCCTTATTAAACGATAAAACAACAGTATAAAAAAATCAACTATTTTTAAACCTACTTAAATTTTCATATTGAAGTTTTAAGATTTAAAAAAGGTTTCAAACAAATCACAAACTGCTGTCACAACATCGATTTTCTAATCATAAACAACACTTGTTCTATCTAAACTCAGACATTTTACTGTATACTTTATCGAAATAAAATAATTCACAGAATCTAAAATTTTACAGACCACAAGCACCCTGGCTTCCAAAGAGCGGGCAAAAAATCCCTGAACTTGAAGACGGACTCTTCAGATTCGTTCCTAAAGTGAAACAATATCGAAATTTTTCAACAATTACAGAAATTCTAACAAGGTACTACTCTGAATTTTGTTCCAATATCGAAAAGCAGAAGCCACAGTATAATATTTCTATAAAAACTAAATCAAAATTAAAGTCAGAGTCCATTCTCGTGCTCATACTTTTATTTTTAGTAATATATTTCACAGTAGAGCATGAAAATAAACTCTCAAAACATTCAGAACACACTTTTTCTCATACAAAATTAAGCGTAACATATAATGCTTACAGTATAATAAGTAGCAGCACATTCTCAAACAGCATCTCAAGCTAACCATTCTAACTACGTTAAAGCAGAACATTTAACATGCTTGTTGAAAGCTTAAGTATTATTATAGAACACAATCTGGAGGTGTAGATTTTTAGGTCTATGTTCTAAAGCAGACTTTCGAATTTAAGAGTATAATATACTAAAAATGTGGTAAGGTTAAGGTGAGTTAAATACGATGAAAAAAAACGACGTCAAAGACGGCTGGGGAATGACAATAGATGATAATTTTTGCGAGGTCACTACTTAGCCCGTACTTTTCTTGATATTTTAATGACGTTTACTGCAAGTTGGCCTTAAGAAGGTTGTAATTTATTTTTCCATTTGAGTAAAAATGATTTTTAAAACATAGTTTATAATTAATTAGAGAAAGAAATTCTATTATTAGCGTTAATTTTTGACAAGTTTTATGTCAATTTTAAAACTATCATCAATTGTCATTTCCAGCCGCCTTTGACGCCGTTTTTTTTCTATCGTACGGTATAATCTTGGAATACTACAATTTCAGTAAGTATGTAGAGTAACAGCCAAAAAGTGTTAAAAAAATAAGGAATACTTTTTTTGGGCTAGTTATACATTTTTTTACAAATATTATATCACTGTATATAGTTAAAAGACTGACAATTATTGTCAGATTTAGGGTTAAATTAC